GGGAAAGAGAAAAACTTGCTTTTGAATAACAATCTGAAGAATTAATCTGTAATTTGGAATTTAAAGTATTAATAATTGAAGAACAGATCTAGGTTTAGGTAGAATGTCACTAATTCTACCTAAATTCTTATAGGATATTTTTATGTAACAATAATAACCAGTTGAAGGAGAATAGGTTAAGCTGATCATTTTCACTAAATTTCGTTGCTCCCCCTTCTCTCTCCCCTGCATATTTAGTTGGATTTGCAGTGTCTCAGAAACCGTATTTGTGCATATAAATACCAAATATATATTGTCTACCGAGCCAGATGGGTGTCCGGTCTCTAAAAATGTTGTTTCAAGGTACAGCTAGGTTAGAAGAGATAAGGGACTCCATTCTATTATTCACAAGATTGTAATAGTACAGGGCTGTCCAACTTTAGTGCAGCCAAAGGTAGCACGCATGGGCAATCTAGTGCAGGAAAGGATTCCCCAGGATTCCTCCCACCCCAAGGGCTGTGCTGGCAGCAGGCGGTCTTCCCACCCCTTCCTGGGCCTTCCTACTATGCTGTACTGGGAGAGGTAGTTGTAGGGGCCCGTACACGGCATGCTAGCTGCTTGTGGGCCACATTCAACCTGCAAGCTGCCCATTGGATAGCCCTGTAACAGAAGGTACTTTACAAGAATGAAGACTTCTTTTATTTATATAGACAAATCATCTTGTTATTGACAAGCCCATTTTATTTTTATAGTACCTATAAGTGTTCTAGGTGCCTTACAAATAAGTAGAAGAAATATAGTTTTTGCCATAAATTGCTTGTACTGAGTATTGGGCAAGAAAAATGAGAGCAACCATAACAGTGGGGAATGGAGAAAGCAGGGGAGAGAAATTGCTGCAAAAACAGTTATGTTTCCTTGGGTTTTTGAAGTACATGAACCTTGATGGTGCCCTAACTATTCCATGGTCTTCTGTAGCATATTTGTGTGTCATTCTGAATTTTTACATAATATATAACGCAAGACCTGTTCTTGGGACAGTAGATTACCAGATATGCTTTAGGAATAGTATTATGTAATGACCCTGCCTCACATCAAGGTATAATAATGATGAGGCATGAGACCAATATGTACATTGTTGTCATTTTTTAATAGACATTCCAAGACAGCCTTTCCTACATCGAACCAGGAAAGGTGTGGAAGAAAAAACAGCTGGATTCAGATGATGCCCATGCTGAGGATGGAATCGGAGGGGGAGAAATATACTTTAACCCCAATAATATAGCACATTGACTTCTACAAACTATATGTCCTGAAGTATTTTGGTCAATGTGCACACTTCAGGGGTTGACAATGTTTTTTGGTAATTGGCATGTGGGTTGGTTGGGAGTCTTTCAGGATACTATTCTGCCCTATCCCATCTTCTGCCCCATTCCATCTTGCTAGATTTTCTGTCCAGTCCATGGTTATACACTCCACAATCAAGCCATCTTCCTTTGCTAATGGTACTAGTTTATGGGCTTGCTGACATTTGGCTACATTTGCGTACTGCAAATAGCAGCAATATTAATTTAAAATGCCCTGACTACACTGCACTAAATCCCTGTGTGGATGCTTTTAGTATGTATTATGAGTGCCTTTGCAAGAGGTAGCGTACTCAGCCATGGAAGTAATGTAAGTTACCGTGCACTAAGAATATCCACATGGAGAGGTAGTTCACAGTAAATAGCAATGCTAACTTGCTCTGTAATAATTAGTCTGTGTAGACAAATTCTAGGTCTGAGAATATATATTTATGTAGACTCTAAAAGAGAGTTGAAAATAGTGGGAGAAGAGTTATGGAGGGGATGAAACTGGTAGCTAGAACAAGTATTGTTTGTTCTGGTGGATTGAGATTGCAGCAGTGAAGGAGCTGCCTGGTGGGTCATGTCCAGGGATCTGGGTTTCCTGTTTCACACGGAAAAATGGAGTAAAGCGTGGATTTTACCTTTTACTGGAGGCAAACGTGGATTTCTCATTTTACTGGAGAAACCCATGGATTTTGCAGTTTTGAAACAAACTCCCTACAGGCTGGCTGAGTTCCAGCCTGCAAGGGGCTGGGAGGGAGCAAGAAGAGGGTGGTCAGGCAGGGCGTACCACGTGCATGTGTATTCACATGGCCCCAGGCAGCCTGGAGAGCAGCTCCTGCAGGTAAGTGGTGGGGGGAGGGGGTTGAGGCCCCCATAGGGAGGGAGTTGAACAAGGCTGGGGCTGCTGCCCATCTCGGCAGTGTCTGGGGCTTAAGGCCCAGGGCCACAATGTGTGGCCATAGGGCCCTGGTAGAGAATAGAACCGGGCCGGGGGTGGCTTGTCAAGGGGGTGGGAGTGGGGCCAGCTCCCTGCTGCTGCATGCAATTCAGGGGGGATATAGGGAGACCCTGCATCCCCCAGATTTGTGTGTGGGTTGGGGGCTGCATGCTGCCCATTTCAGGCTTCAGCTTCCTTCCTCCTGCCCTCCTCCAGGGCCTCCGCTTCCTGGTGAGTGCAACCTGGCACTGCAGGGAACAGCGGAGCCATGCAGGAAGCTGCCTGCAGTTGAAAGCTCCACACTGCCCTGGACCCTGTGCATGTGCCTGCTGCAGCTACACAGGCAGGGGACACCTCACCAGGGCAGCGCGGAGCTTTCAGCTTCCTGTGTAGCTTCACTGTCCCCTGTAGTGCCGGGTTGTACACACTGAGCTGCGGAGGCACTGGAGGAGGGCAGCAGGGCAGAAGTCTGCAGTGCTCAGCCCCTGCCCCACACACAGATGGGGGCATAGATTCCCCCATGTAGCATTGCTACATGCACTCCCTGGAGTACATGTAGCAATGGGGAGCAGCCCCCCACCCTGAGCCCACAGTGGCAGGCAGCAGGGGTGGGGGGAGCTGGGCCCCACTGCAGCAGCCGCCGCTTCCTGTTAGGGGCAGGGGGCTGTGGACCTGGGTCCTTGGCCCCATAGTCCTGGCGGCTAGGGGTCCCCTAGCAGGAGCTGTGGGTGGCGGAGGGGTGAGGGGAACCAGTAGGGTTGAGGGGGTGTGTTGAGGGGCAAGATCAGGGCTGGGAGGTTGTTGGGGGAGGAGTGAGATGCAGGATCAGGGCTGGGGGGTTGTGGGGGCAGGAGTGAGGTGCAGGAGCAGGGCTGGGGGTGTGTGTGGGGGGGGAGTGAGGGGCACCAGGAGGGCTATGGGAGGCCTTTCATTTTAACCACGGATTTGTGGGGTTTATCAGAGAATTTATGATTTTTTTTTATCAGGGAAAACCAGGATCCCTGGTCATGTCTCAGGGGGCCTGAGATGGAGGGCTCAGAAACTGCATGTCAGGATCAGAACAAAGGCTGGGCAAAATTGTTTTGGAATTGTCTTCAGGAAAGAGGAGGTTATAGCTCAAACAGGCAGCATAAATGTCCTTCTGTTTCCAGTGAATATATTTGTTTTCCTTTAAACACTTATTTTGTTTTTATATATAATTTTATTAATTAAAACTCTAGTTTTAAACTGAAAATTCCGCTTGACAGTATTTCATAGAGAATTCTTGCTTCAATGAAATGTGAGAATTTAAAATATGAATTGATGAAATTCTTAACCATCTGTATTTAGCATGCTTTTGTGGGGTGAGAGGGTAACTTGGAAGAACGAGCCCTCCCTTCACTTCAGAGCAACTTACAGAATATTCTTGGTGTTCTTAGGGTTAATGCTGTATTTGGGGAAGGTCTTGCTGGTTTCTAGCAAGTATGCCTTCATTCTAGTGTATCCTTGAAAATAGGCATGACAGCCACTTTTCAGTCAGGCTAAATCTGCAATTAAATACCCTTTGATTGAGAGAGAGAGAGAATGTGAGAGAGAGAGGCTGTGGGTTAAACATGTGGAGCAAGAAGCTATGACTCTAAAGTGTGTGCATATGTATGCATATTTACAACATTTGTAATGATGCAATTTAAATAAGCATATAAAGCCTGGGCCAAAAGGTCTGATTTTCTTCCTATGTCTCTGACTTCTCATGTATGAATATAATAATCAAGGTGTTTCTAGAGGCAATAAAAACAGAAGTGAAAGGGCTTTCTATTCTATGTAAATTTTTTAGGTCCAGCAACTAACGTGTACAATTAATGTAAAACTCCTCTTTTATTTTCTGTTGCATAGTATGGGAGGATACATACAGAACATTACTGAAGATCAGACCCAGGCAATCAGTTGTAGCTTGAAACTTCTGTCTGATTTATAGACTCTCATGTTAAAGAAATATACAGAATGAATTTAGTCTTGCAAACTAAAGTAATAGTTTTATAATGTCTAGAGAGAGAATTGAGTTATAATTCATACTAGGGACAGTCAACCCAATTATCATTTAGCTTGGCTTTGCAGAAATGCACATGCTGTTCTCTAAGTCACAGTAGCTGTTCTCTAAGTCACAGTAGTATTATTGTGGACTCTGTTAGTAAAGTGAAAGTCTGGAGCTAGAAATTTATTAACATAGATCATTTCTGATTTCCAAGCTACCAGGTGAGTCTGAGAATGTTTTAGATTGTGCACTAAAGTTGGGCTTGAAAGGAGTTGTCAAATGGTGTGTGCCTTCAAAATGACCTTTAGTTAAAGGAAGTTAAATATCAAGCAGGATTTCTGGGAAAGGAGTCATAATATTTGTCTGTACTAACTCTCTGGATTGTTGAGAATTCAGACAATGGGAAATGTGAAGGTTTGGCACCCCTGAACGTTAAAGCTTCTTATTTAGACTTCTGGGCTCATGGTAGAGGCAATATCTTTTATTACCAACAAGATTTTTGCAAAAATATTTCTTTAACTGCAAGCTTTTGGGCACAAACACCCTTCATCAGGCATTGGAGAAAAGATTATAAAAGTTCTCTTGGGTAATTTTTTGCAAAAATGTTGTTGGTTTAATAATAGATACCACCTCTACCACAAGCCCTGATTGCTTTTTCTTCGAGACCAATACAGCTACAACCTGGATACCTGACTTATTTAGACTTCAGAATTTGTATGTAGTGTATTTAGGTTCTGGAACCTGGACATTTGCTTTTAACCTGTTAAAATATATCAAACTCGCTGTTTATATTGCAGTTGTCTGCTTAAAGAAAAATTGTTGATGTACTTAGGTGATGCTTGTCTCCCTTGAAGTTATCTTTTCATGTCTCAATTATGCTTGTTTTCCGTATAAAATAGGGAGGGGGCAGGGGAAATAAGTAAATTAGAATGAATGCTGGCTTTTGTCTTGTTGAGATTAAGAACAAAGGACTGTGGAATCAATGGGAATTGCAGAATTGGAGGATGGTGGGTGGCAAGGCACAGTGTGGTTCTATTACACGCATCTGCTTTCGTCTAGTATGTGTGAGATCCCATTCATTTTAATAGTAGTGGCTCCATGAGTTTGGGAGAGCAGTGTGTAAGAGTTGCCATTTTTGTGTGGCATAATCCCCTTAGGATCCATGAGATTCTGAAGTGACTATCAAGTAGATTCCCAACGTGGTACTCATTCCTATCTTGATAAAGAGGGAATGGAGGAATGGACAGGAAGTGTGTATCAAAAGGTGAGGAGATTCAGAGTGAGAAATAAGGGGGAAAAAGGGCTCCCCCCCTCAGAAGGCTGGGGGGGTGTCTACACATGCAATTAATGTGGCTGAATAAACTCTGGTGCAGTTTGTGCTGGAGTTCATTGCTCCCTGGTGCCATGTTTGCATGTGTACCCAGGACCACAGCATGTTACACCACGGTGGAGTAGCCCTGGCTGGCAGGAGGCCCTGGGGTTCAGCCTGCCTGGGGCTGATCTAACCCAGCTCAAAGTGCTGCGGAGGGCCTGACTGGGCTTGGCAGGCAGCCACACTGAAGCATTGTCAGCATCAACATGTGTTGCAGCAGAGTAAATAACCCTGCTGTAGGATAGTACTTGCCTGGTCATACTATCCTATGGCGGAGTTAATTTACTCTGTCCTAATAGCACTGCACTTGTAGAAGTTGATGATTTACTGTGGCGCTAATTAGTCAACTCTGCAGTAAACATTTTGGTTAGATATGCCATAGGAGCAGTATTCTTAAGGTATTCTCAGATTCACCGGGCTTGGTATCTGCATTTTATGCCAACTCCCATTCCTAGTTAAGAATATATGAAGTGTCATCTCCTCATGTTCTCCCAGATGGAATTTTGAAAATCCTATTTAGGCTTCTACAATTCTCTTCCAGGTGAGAGGAACATAGGTACAATCCAGCAAACTAAATTTTCTATATTCACCTTTGTGTATATATAGGTCAGCTGGGAGCATCACGGAAGACTGAGATGCTTGGCATATATACTATTAATATTTCATCATTCTTTTGGAAACTTTACCTCTAGCT